GAAATGAAATATATTTAGAACAGATAAGGTTATTTTAGAAGTGTTAGGATAAGACGAATTGAGAGGAGTTTAAATGAGATAATAGTTGATTAGATTAGATTAGATTATATAAAACCAAAATAAATTAGATTAGATTAAATTTTTAAAATAATTGATTTGATTTGATTAGATAAGTTTAGATTCGATTCGATTCGATTAAATAAGATTAGATTAGCTTAGCTTACCTTAGATTATATTATATCAAATTATATTAGATTAGAGTATAGTAGATTATAATAGAGTAGATTCGAGTCGATTGGAATAGATTAGATTACATTAGATTATGTTATATTAGATTACATTAGATTGGATTGGATTAGATTGGATAATATTAGATTCGATTCGATTCGACTTAAGTAGATTAGAGTTTATTTCATTTAATTTGATTCGCTTTTATTTTATTTGATCTGATATATTCAGTTACTCTCCTATTCAATCAGTTCAGTCAAGTAGAGTTTTGTTTTGTTCAATTCCAATCAGTGCTGTTTAGCTGAAATCAGATTATATCAGATCATAAAAGAGCAGTTCAGAACATATCAGATCTGCTCGTGTCAGTTGAAATGCGATACGATTGTATTGCCTCTCATAATTGTATTTCATCCAAGACGGATTGCACATCCTATCTTCTTTATTTTTTTTAGAACCCCCAGTTGTTTCGATATAACGCCTATTTTATTATGATTTTGAATAAAGTTGATCTACAGTCGTTCGGCTTTACTCCGAAGTTCAGGTTGACGCAGTCCATTATGCAGCTTCCTTTTTCACAACAAAACTGGCTGGCCTTGCGACCGTCATGCCGCTCGACGCATATATTCAGAGCTGTAATTCATCCTTGCGAAAGCCCAAAGTAAACGAGACTACCAGGCTCCACTTTACATGCTGTATACACTCTGTAGAAAGAAATGAATCGCGAAATGAGGACAGATGCCTTGTGGACAAAGTCAATTTGAACGTCATGGTAGAGCCAAACGACTGCAGCACAACACGCAGCAGCCCTCATCTTCTGGTTAGATCGACCGAAAAATCTCTTCGACCGACTAAATGAAAGTAGACACCGCATTCTTTTCCCAGAATGTTCATTGAAACACAGTCACTCTTCATATCTCTTCCCTGTGCTGATGTGGGCAACTACTGTGAGTCTATCCAC